GGCCTGCCTCCAGTACTTTTTACTCTTACTCAAGTCGTTTTATTGTTAATTACTTCTACTTTTACTCGAGTACAAATTCAAAGTAATTTAGGCACCACTGGATAGCCTCCTCCGTAGGCATCTCTAGGGAATCATCCATGTTCTAGTTCTGGGTCAGCCGCCAGCTGGATCGAGCCTAGGGTTAGACTTGTTAGTCTTGTTAACTTCGGAAAATCTCGGTTCAAAACTGAACCGAAAATGCAAGACTTGCTTTCATTGTTTTCCTTCAATTTCTTTCTGTATTATTTACTATTATGGAACTCATGTTATTTACACTGTGCTAGATCAATACATATAAGCACTGACAGAAAACAATTAAAGCAAGTCTTGCATTTTCGGTTCAGTTTTGAACCGAGATTTTCCGAAGTTGACAAGTCCCACTTTCTCGCTCCGCCTCCCCGTCACTCAGGGCTACGTCATGTAATGTACACTATAGTGGAACGATATTATATGACAATGAAAGAGAGACTTGGAGCAAATCTAGATCTGGGTACGATTACGAAATTGCCTCTGATTAGTCTGACAAATGGAAATCTAGCCCGCGTGCAGGCCCAAGGGGAGCAGGCTCAAGGAAACCACTATCAAGTTTCCTTGAGTCTGCTCCCTTGAGCCTGCTCCCTTGGGCCTGCACGCGGGCTAATGGAAATCTCGTACCCAGAGGCCAGAGCCACTCAACGAGATTGGACAAGTGTGTGATTACCACAACACTTTCTCCGACGCTGGGCCAGGAATTTCATGCGTTCTCTTCCCAGCTGTTCCTTCACGTTAGACCACTGCGTTAGACACGATGAGCAACTTTTTCTAAAATCTAGAACAGTGTCAGTGACGGCGGCGTAGTCTATTGAGTTGTTCGATCAGGACTTCGGGTCGACGACTTAACTGTTCGTTTGAAATTAATTATTGACAGATTAATTTAAATTATTGTGCAATTTCTTATATTTGATTTGAATACCAACAACGTACGTCTTATGTTAATATTGGAGAAGTTTTCAATATTTGTTTGCTACTTATGTAGTTATGTTGCTACGGCATGCAAATTACTAAGTATTGATTGACCAATGACTACTCGCTGTGCGTCTTGATAAAGGTGTTCAATTATTTACAAACTTGACATATTTGTCATATGATATTTGTCGTCTAGAATTACAGAATATTCAACTCGTTGGGAAATCACTTGTAAAGAGTCGTTTGGTTTGTGTGGTTTCGTAAGAGCTCTTTTCCCCTTATCTTTTTGGGAAAAGCTGTGTATCAAAAACCGCGCACGGACGATTAGGTAACCATTAATACAAGTGTGCCTAGGCGTATTCACAAAAGCTTATATATCTAAACTCACTTTTAATTGAACATGAAACGGGAAGAGAAAGCGAAGCTCTCCAAACGCGAACAGTTCGCACAACTGCGATCTGATTTCACTACATTTCTCTACAATAAAGAAGGAGATGAACCGGCAGTGGTTATGGGTCGTACTGCCTTGAGTTGGGGTAAGTTCAGTTCTTTTGAAATATTCAGAATAATTATACATCCTCGTTGCAGACTACGAAAATATGCAACACCCCGTGCCACAACGCAGTTTAACTTTTTTAATCACTCATGTGCTTGGCACATTCTTTACGCTAAAAATATACAAGCTTGGGCTCGAGCGTGGGGGTTCAGGTTGGGCTACGGAGTATATACTCGTGATTCTGAAAAATATATTTTTAAAAACTTCGTCGCTTTGATTTGAGCAAAGTCCTTCATCTGCACGTGAAGTGACTACCTCCTGGCGAGGCCAGGCTTATGCTTCAAAGTTCGAAATGTATTTTTTAATATTTTTCAGCAGGAAAACCTCAACATTCACTCTTTGTATAATTTCGCATTCTTGCACGTATAGTACAGTGCATGATATCTCATATGTGCCTAGTATAATACAGTGCATGATATTCCATATGTGCCTATACCATTCAGCTTCATGTTATATTTCATTGCGCTCAAGTTTGTTACTTACTGAGGGGCAAGTTGCTCTAACTACAAAAGTCCCAAAAAGTCCAATAATAAAATGTACTGACTTTTCAAAGTCCAAAACTCTCGTACACTTTCGAGGAGTGGTTTACCCTCCGTTTGTTACAGTCTAGTTGCCTTTATGTTGAATATTGATATTCCAACCCTTTGACCGGTTTCTTTCATTGTTCTTAAAGCTGGCTGAAAACAAAACACAAAAGGTTTTCACAGAATCTTGTACAGCGCAAAAGAACCAACCGGCACTACATTAATTTAGGTAGTTACAGACTTACAGTTAGTCCCAGAGTAAAGGTAGATTTCTTTGTGTTTTGCTCACTGTAGTTACAATGAATATAGTTGATTTTGATTTCACTAAAGACCAATAGTACTGAACGATAAATGCTAAAATTTGCGTTGAACAGACTATTTGCTTATTTTCAAGTTTTATTTTTCAGATTTCTCATTCTACGTAGTTCGTACGGTATTTTCCAAAGTAAATCAAAATTTGCATATATACCTAAATTGCTGGATTGCGTAATTATTTCCTATTAGCAGGGCGCATTGCATTTTGGGGGTTAGCGTGCTTCCTTCCTTCTTCATCACACAACAAAGCTGACATATTTTTAATACATGCCGTTGTAAATTTTTATTTTAAAACTTTGCTTCGAATAAACTAAAAATGGAGGAAAAAGAGCACCCAACGCGTACAGAACAACTAACAATAATGTATACAAGTTTCCGAATTTTCTTATACAATGAAGAAAAAGGAGAAGTTATGGGCAGAACTGCTGAAAGCTGGGGTATGTGGTGAAATGCAGCTGTTGTGTGGGGGGAAATTCATAGCCTTTGTGGTTTTATACTTAAACTGTTTGTGAAAGTAATTTGGTTGAGAATCTTTTACTTGCTTTCTTTTATAGGTAAAATTGGTTTATTTTTCCTGGTATATTATGCTTGCCTAGCAGCATTTTTTGCAGCTATTTTTGCGATTGCTTTCTCAACTATGCCAGAAATAGAGGATGGGCCTAAGTATACTTCATTTATTTCGGATAAACCATGTAAGTTAATGTAGTTTTGTATCTTAATTCAAATATAAATTTTGTTATATCACTTAAAATTTGGTCAAGTTAAACATGTGAGAAGAGAAGAAGTTGCCCCTGGTGTGAATGATTCATGTTTTGTCTGTTCTTGAATTTATACAATTATTCATGTTTCTCTGTTCTTGAATTACAACTATTTAGCTATTTCCTTACCTCACAAGAATTATTAAAACACTTCTTCGTGTATTACAGTAAAAAAAGCATTTATACAGTATTTGGTATATTTCAAACAAATTATATAACTGTACTGTATATATTATAAATATGGAGCAATTTTTCACATCCAGTTATTTTCTTTATTTATTTTATTTAAGAATATTTACAGAGGATAAGCATTTCAGTAATACTACTGTTATCAACATGATCATGCGTCCTCTTTTAATATACTAACAATCTAAAAATCCTTAGTTTGGGGCATTAATAGTATAACCTGTTTCTTTCAAAGTTAATATATTTTTAACAAATATTTATGTCTCATACCGGAACCAGTTTTTTAAGTTCCGGCCGGAACCGCATCCGACCGGAACTGGAGAAAAGTTCCAGCTAATTTATTAAGCCATATATAGTCATATGTTACTCTGTCCGCTGCCAGACAGGCAGACACGTCAAGTCATCAAGGAGAGAGCTCGCAAAGCGTTAAACATCATAATGAAGTGTTAATAGTGTACATTTCCCTTGCGTAGTCCAAATTTCTTCCTACTGTGACCTCGTGTTAGACACAAAAACGTTTGATATTCTATCTCTCTGAAAATGACAGAGTTTGGTTCCGGCCATGCTCTTTTTACTAGTTCCGGCCGGAACTATAAAAAATCGGGGTTCCGGCCGGAACTAACCAGCTGGAACCGAGTTCTGGTGCACCCCTAAAAAAATTCCAAAAAATGGAAACTCTAGAGGATCCACCCTACCTGAGTGTTTGCAACAAGAAATAGGAACCCTAGGGCTGGTTGTTCAAAGCTGGATTAGTGCTACTAGTGTTTTAGTTTATGTATACTTCTGCACATTTGTTTCCGCAAAACTTCACAGAAGAAAACTACCGATCCAGACAAAATTTTGGAAGAAATAGTTCCAAATATACAAACAACTAAAACAAGCTGTCTTGGAGTTTGCTTTCCATGTTAAGTTAGGCTGGATCGATATCGCAAATACCGATATACCGCCATCAGAATACCGGTAAATACCGGTATTCCGGTATTTTTAACGTGTTTTTTTTTAAGCCAAACTGAAGTGCTGACCGTCAAGAAAAATCAAGTTTTGACAAAATATTAATGTGGCACATACTGTTATTAGTGCAAATGTCATAAGATTCGCATTCTCAAGCTATGTTAACAATTAACAGCGCTAAGCGGCAATTATTAGTAGGCCGTCGATTGGGCGTCGAAGTGTTGAATCATTCAGAAAAATATTCGTTTTGTATATAAATTCAGATAGTGTTTCAGTAAGTTGCTAATAGTTATAAACATAAAAAACGTTGCATTTTTAAAACTAACACATAAACAAGTTAGCAAGCATGTAAAAAAACTAGAAAAGCCAGAAAAGGTTTTCGCTTCTTCGCAAATGCTAGTACTTCCACCTTCCAAAATCAAAGTATTCTTTTTTGTCGAAATTTTCCTTTAAAAATTTCGCCATTTTTATATTTCCGATTAAGTCGATTTAATAAACAAGACGTCTGGTATTGCTAAACCAAAGCCGCTAGAACTGTAAGAACAAAATCATGCATCTGTGAGTATTAACTTTGCTTTCTAAACGTGATTGTAAGCAAGTTTGACTTGAAAGAGCGTTTCATTTCGGTATTAGGCAGCAAAATACCGAAATGTCGGTATATCGGTATTTTTAAATGGTCAATATCGCCAAACCGGTATCTAAACAAATACCGGTATATCGGATATATCCGGTATATCGATCCAGCCTATGTTAAGTTAACCTAGATTTAAGTTAATCAGCTTTTGAACAACAGGCCCAGGTATTTATATTTTTTGCCTAATCATTCCTGTAGATTTTATTTTTATGGAGGTAACCAATCATTGAATAGAGCTAGTCTATGCCAGTGCTGCCAGTACCAGTAACTGAAACTCCAGGCTTGCATAGCTACTGTAGCTTATTATTTTTGGAGTTGGGTTACACTGGCTGTGAAGTGCTAGTAAAATGCTTAGACTTTAAGTCCCCTTTGGGTGGGTGAGCATGTCACTTGTCTGAATTTCAAAAGCAGTAATAAAAATATGGTTTTAATAAGGCAATTCCTCATTCCGTGGCTCTTCATCCATCATCAACTGAATTTGTTGCCGTCTTGCTTATGATTGTTTTCTACCTTTTGACAAAAAACGAAAACCAATACCGGAAAAAATTACTGATAATACCGATATGTTGATATTTTTCACAATTGTATTTTGCTTCATTTTATGCAAAATTTTCTTCATTTTATGCAAAATTTTCTGTTTTCAAATGATGTCAAATAGCCACGATATAACAAGAGAAATGTCCGCTTTCGGAATTGAAAATGCATATATTTGCATCGATTTCATTATCCACACTCAGAATGAATCATGAGTTATATTTTTGACCAGGAAATTTGTTTCAAAACATGTTATTCAACTGCCAATTTGAAACAAAGATTGTCCTATGTCACCAGATAAATAATATCCAGTGAGTGAGGTTAGTTTTTGTTTTTTAAAACATTTGTAATCCAGCATTGTTCACATTCTAAAACTTTTTGACAAGCTAATGACATGTTACAATTGTTAACCTTGCAACGTCAATGACAGTGTAAACAAACACACTTTAGCTCTTGTCTTTGTCCTTCTGAAATAACTCCAATCAGAGCTTGAAAAAGTTTGATATGACATTTACAGTCAAACTGGATGTTCTCTTGCGAGCAACATTGCAATATTGTCCCAGAATATTGCAATTTTGATAGGCAGATTGCTCCGAGCAATTTTCAACCGACGCAAACAATTGCAATTCACAAAAGATTTGTAAACAAAGCCTCTGATTGGACTATAAGAAAGGGGGAAGCACCAATCCAGTGGCTCAGACTATCTTATACTCCAGTCAGAAATTTGTTTACAAACCTTTTGTGAATTTCCAACTTGCAATTTGTTCCCGTTGGTTGCAATTTGCTCAGAGCAATCTGCCTATCAAAATTGCAATATTGTGGTACAATATTGCAATGTTGCCTGCGAGAGAACATCCGGTTTGACTGTAAATATACAAAATATTGATCTTCCAATATATTGAATATTTCAATATCAAATAATCAGTATTTATAAAAAAATGATAATTATCAGTATATTGATATCAGCAATAGGCGTAAAAAAAAATACCTGTGGTTCCGGTTCCCGACCGACCCTATTTTTTTCTGCCAACCCTATTATTTTTTTCAACACGATTGACCATGCGACCCTATTTTCTCCAGGTGGTTGCGGGCTGCTAATACAACATGCCAAAATGGCATCTGTTGTCACACTAATTATTGCACCAAATTGCCTAAATTCGTCCATAGGAACTATGCATCTCTAGTTAATATTGATGTCAGGACTCTACTGCGAATCGCCCAGTAAAAAAACGGCAAAACCATGAAAAAAATATTTAAAAAAAAACTTATTTCCGACCTACCGACCCTACTTTTTTTATGATATGAAACCAGAACCACAGGTTTTTTTTTATGCCATAGCCTATCAGCAATTCCACCTGTCTTCATGTCACATTTTATGGCAAGTAACAGCGGATTTATTATTAAAATATGCTTTCAATTGTGCTCTGTTACATAATGCTTCCTGGTTGAGTGTTTCCTATATTATAGTCGTGTTTTGTAAAATAGAGCTTGGTAGGTGCCGAGTGTACTGAATGTACATGTATTCACAACTATTATATTTCATTTCAGTGCTACTGGTTTATCCAGAAAATGGAATTGGCTCTTGGAAAAGAGAAGATATTGACAGGAGCATTAAAACAAAGTATGAAAACTTCTTGGATGGTAGGTATAATTTTACTCCATTATTTATTGTAAAGAAAAACTGCAGTTCAGGGCACAAAATAATGGTCGATCAGTGATCAATGATCGGCAGAGAAGCTTCTGAGAGCCACTATGCAGGCTACAGAGAAGCAAGTAGGAATGAGCCGATTAATCTGTAATTTTTTTTCTGCGTTGGTGTTGCGTACTCGGGTGAATATAATGTTTGCAATGTTACTCTGAGTGCATATCCACACCGGGCGAGCTTGAAAAATATGCCCGGCCACGGTGGGAATCGAACCTATGACCTTTGGAATACTAGCCCAATGCTCTTCCAACCTGAGCTATGTGGTCAG